TGCTCTTGCTTTGTGTGCTACAAGGAGAGAGTGTGGCGACTTGAACTGACGCACATATGCGCAAAGTTCTATGTCGAAAACCAACCGACCGACCTCAATGGCCAGTGCATCATTTCTAGCTTCTATCAACCAATATCATCGGTGGGAACTCCATCCTCACACTTGACTGGATGGACCTAACTGGTGGTCACGACTTCTCACTAGAACTGCAGGAAACTCCGTTCTGTAGCAAGTCACTAGCGAGCATCAGATTAATTTTCTATAGTATACTACTTGATTGATTGTGATGGGTATTTGTATACCACTGAATCGACCAGCCAGTCAGATCGAACCAAGTTAGAAAATAACTATTTAGGAGGAAGAATGCACCAGTGATCTTGAAGATATACTGTTCGTTGGATAATCGTGTCTGTCACTATTATAGCACCACCATGAACACTGAGTGCGTCGGTGGCAGAGTGGCAGAATGCTCGCCAACCACGCCACGTGTGATTCGGGGTTCGATCCCCGGCCGACACACCCCTTTACCCTGGTAAGTCAGAAATAAAACTGGTAAAGAGGGAAGGTTTAGCATCAGGCTAGAAACCCGATCCTGTAAAATTAAACACCACTCCTACTGAAACTTTAAGCCTCTAGCTTGAAGGTGCCCTTTGTTCCATTGAGGACATAAACGGATAAAATAAATAATAATTAATGAACACTGTAATCGAACTGAGGTGCAAATTTCATTTCGATGTCACTGTTAGGCGGTATTTGCATAGTTGGTTGATAGCTCGTAAGGGTTACTGTTAGGGTTAGGTTTAGGATTAAGGTCGGGATTTGGGTTAGGGTTACGGTTAGGATCAAGGTCACACTTTGGATTAGGACTAAGGTATTTTATTTTTAAGAATTAATTTGTGGAGATTCTATTTGTGTGAGGTTAGACTACGGGTTGAAATCAGTTAGAGAACCGTTTAAAACTAGCAAGGAGTACTGGACAGCTGTGTTCGTCTTAGTTTGGAACTCATCAGCAATACGCACCCACTGGAAGGGTTCGAACCCAGTCCATGTATTTTTCTAGTAAATATCTTATGGTGTTCCTAAGTATTATCTGTATTTTTCTAGTAAATAAACGGCATTTTTATGCAAAGGGCGCTGGTCTTTCTGACTAGTCACCTCAAAGTTATTTGTACGTTCGCATTGCTTGCATCGGTATTCTTTAAGTGTGCATCAGATCGCTTGTTTGGGGTGAAGTGATTTGAACGTATTCGGGTGTTTGAGTTGCGTCACATTGGGTGCATCGCTATATTCATCTGTTTGGATCACTTGTACCTGGCTAGCTAGCACTACTAGTTGTTGTAAGTAGTATATACAACTACTCAGCTCAATCAATCAGTAGTATATATAGTTTTATGCAATTTATACTTGGTTTTGGAAAGAAACGTGGGTGAAACTTCATTACAGATTTTAATCCTTTTCTATTATCGTTATCACGCACATCCTAATTGTGAATGATGAAGTACTCTTTGAGCAGATGAAGTTCCTTGTCTCTTTCTTCATTGTTTTCCTGAAACTGTCTTTCCATTATGCTTTTTTGTATGTTTGTTGAGTAACTTTCCCGATTATAAATTTATTTTTCAAGTGTCGGTTGATAGGGATTTCAATGGTTACAGGTTGGACATCAGTTAGAGAACCAACAGCAGAGGGAGTTACTGAATAGCTATTTCTACCCAATTTCGTGATTCCTCAACAGTACGAAACCACTAGAATCTGGTCTAATGGCCCATGAATTTCAACTTCCGCACAGCCACCAGCCGATGTCATGGGTGGCGAGCAACTACCCTCTCGCCAGATTTGGTAGACCTCGCTGGTTGAATTGGAAGAATTTTGAATTCACAGGATATTACACCAAGTCCCACGGTTCGAATCCCTGTGGTTGGTGCATACTAATGAGGAGTCCCAAACTAGGACGAAACAGTTGACTGTCCCGTAGTCCCTGACTTCCCAATGATCCTGTTACTAATGTCAGCTGGTGATCAAACCTAAAAATTAGTTGCAAATGAAGGTTTCCTGAAAATCGTTTTTGCCTTTCAAATTTTCACTACTGTTTCATGATTTCCTCCAATCGATTAACCATTTCTTTTTTAATGAATGCTACTCAACATTCTATGCCACAGTTCATTTGCAATTTTACTTGTGTTATGACCTTTTTTCATACATGTTAATCTCCTTATCTGAAGAGTACTCATAGTAATAGCAGTAGTAGTAGTTGGGTGTGTTTTTCTAGTGAGTGTGTCAGTATACCACCGATTTTTGTTTTGAAGTGTGAAAGCAATTAATGAATTATCGCCTGTATGGTAGTAGAGTTATTTGCAGTTAAACCGCCCACTTGCAATTGTAATAAAGAAAAACAATATTATACGTAAATTGATTAGTGAGTGGACATTAGAATAGTACATGCTGTATATGTAGTAGTTCCGGTCTTCAATACTTTCCATTATCACTATGTTACTATTATTATTGTTCAACTGAACCCTATTCATATACACTGTTGTTTTGTAGTGTTTCTTTTTACCACTCATCTTTAACACTATTCTATTCATAATAATGCGTGATAACCGGCTGGTTATCGACCAAAGGGCGTGTGTACTGCTCAGCAATCCGCTCCACCCTCCTTTATAGCCAGCTGTGAGACATGGCCATTGAGAGTGGAAGACATGAAAAACCTGGCTAGCTGTCTTTGATCATAGGTGCCTGCGTTCTATCTCCCGTGTGAAGTGGTATAATAAGGTGAGCAATACTGAGCTTAGGCATAGAGTGCTAGGTAAGGAGGGGAAATCAATCGGCGAGGCTGTGAAATTACATCGACTGAGATGGTTAGGACATGTGTTACGCATGCCTAGCCATCACCATCCTCGACAACGGCAAATGTTAGTCAATATAGGGTCAGGTTGGAAAAGAGCCAGTCGTGGTCAAACTAAAACATGGTTTCATCAGTTAATGAAATCCACAATAGTTAGTTTAAGCCAGTCACGTAGTGAGGTGTAGACTGATTGGCTGGCTGGTTGAGGTCCTCGTGACGGCAAGAACAAATTGCTGGAGACGATCGATGATATGGCTGTTCTCAATGGATGGCGCAGATGTATTCACTCCCTGTGTGACTTATAATACCCAATAAAACTATATTGCTCTTCGATATTACTATTCTTTTTACCACATATCTCTGTTAACTGTCTCCATTTTGCATTCCTTTTTACTGTCTTCTTCTCCTCTGGCTTTGTGTGGTGAGTGAAGTGTGGCGACTCGGACTGCTGCACATTTGTGCATGTTGAAACCAGACAGACAGACAAATTCATAATAATATGGCGCTATATATCCCGTGTAGTGAATACAGTGTTGTTTTCTACAATTAAGTAGTATCTATTCAGTAGTCTAGTTAACTAGAACATTGAAATTAATCCATACACCTACAAAAAGCCATATTCTAAATAATATCAATCTCCAGCTCATGTATAGCTACTGATTGGTTATTCTGATGTTGTTGTGTGTGAAGAGTCGTGACTAGTGAAGAGGATGCTCATTGAAGCGATCGGTTGAATGCACCGCTATATCATCACGAATCGACAAAGTTAATAATTCATTGGTCATTGAATTTCGTCTAGCTCAAGTGGCTGAATGGTCAAAGTATTTGATCTCTGATGAGTTTTTGGATATGCTGTCCTGAAGAATTCCAAGCTAGTCTTAAGCGTCTGTCTCGTATTCCGTGGTTTTCAGAGATTTCTCCAAGTGATGTTAGTTTGTGAGGGAATCTTCAGTGAAGTTGAAAACAAAGCGAAAGATCGTTTTCATGTGTGCAGGAGTACATCGGTAAGATAAAATACAGAAGTGGTCTAACAGTAAATATGAGTGTACTGAAATAAGACAGTGGTAAGGTCTTTGACTGCAGTGGTCAATGCCAAGCGTTGGAATCTAAGAAGCAACATCAGTTACTTTTAGGGTTACATATACACCTTGTTGACGTGGGATGCGTTCTGCCAGCTGCCTTCAATCATATTATATTATTACTGTTCCTTTGGGTTCCAAGTGAAACGTAGGGATTCCACTACACATATCCACTTTCTCACATTCTCTACTGTTCTCTTCATCTGGCTGGCTTCATGATTGCTCATAATGTGTCATCTCCTCCTCCGCCGACATGCGGTCTCCTCCATGCCACCCTCGTATCAACCACCCACTCGTCTCTTCCCATTCTGATCATATTCGAGAGATGGCCGACACTGCACGCGATGTCATTCGATGGCCTACTGAGCGTATGGCCGATCAGTCCATCTCCATTTTCTCCTACATATCCACTTATGGAAAAATCGGCTCTCGCCTGTTGGTTTGTTCCACTGCAGAGTTTCTTGTTGTTAATTCTTTCTGGCCGGCTTGCTGGCCATTTGATTTTCCTGTATACAGCCAGCCAGCGAAGCTGGTAGCTGTTCATGAAATTCCGCATTAGCTTGATGGAAATCTTCTTCGTGACGTCTGCAAAGTGCGAGTTTCTGACCGGCATAGAATAAGTGACTGACTGACTGACTTCACATTTGTGTTGAACAGAATCCGAATCTTGTTGTTTGTGCTGGCTGGTTTTAGGTAAGTGAAGGAGGTAATCCATGTCAAATCTCTCCCGTTGATGGTGAGTGGTGCTGGTTGTTGTTGCTGTTGACGCGTGGGCATCTTCATCTCCTCCGTGTCCTCTATGTTCACCTGGAGTCTTGTCTTCGTTGGCTGCTTCTTCAGCCAATGTGTTGGTTTTCGCCTGTAATTCTTCGAGTTTGTGTGTGCGACATCCAGATCTTCGCGAGTCTTTTATCAGTCCAGAGCATTCCTGACCTCTCACTTCCCCACAGTCAGCCACATTATCCATGAAAGGTTGTTTCGCAAGACAGTTTCTAAATAAATAACTTTTAAATTGTTGTATTTTTCGTGATAACATAAGTTTCATCTGTGCTCATATGAACCTCCTTTTCATTTTCTAGGTTGGACAGATCATCATTACTACAATACGCATCATTTCAATTCGGATGGATTACCAACCTTCAATTATTCTGCATATTACCATCATCACCAAGAACAGCCTATCATAGACGAAACACACATCAATCATTCATTCCATATTGATCCGTTAGGAGCAACACCATCATTTTCTACAACGTCTACAGGTAATTCTGTTTCTTCATCGTCAGTTGGGGCCGCTAACGCCGCCGCCACTGCTGCTGCGTTCACTTCCCGTTCCAGACTCAAATCAATCGCATTCATCTCACAGATAAGCGCCTTCGGTCTAAAGAATAAACGACGCTTTTCACATTTAACACAAAAGTCAATAAAAGTGAAAGATAAAGTTCTCAGTAGTTCTAAAACAACAACAACAACAGCAACAGTAACAAGTAGAAATAGTCATCATGGGAAAGGGAAACACTCCAGCGATGGTCAATCGAATCCATTATCAGTAGCGGAAATTTATGGCAATGAATATGAAGGCTATTATAATGCTAATATGCAATCAGATAATTTGGTAAGTAATACTGTTGTACTGTACTACTTATTGATTAATCGATTAGTTTGTTTATTCATTCTTATGTTCTATTTTTTTCAATGATGTATACCATACTACTGATGGAAGTTGTAAGTAGACAGAAGTGGCATGCATTCACCGGAAGCAAATGATCACAGATTGGTATCACTTAGAGGAACATTGAAGGCCATCTGATAGTTCTGGAGAGTTCCCTAGCCCTAGTTTGAGAATCTATACTAGTAGTCATCAATGTCCTCACTAAGCGTTGAACCCAGGACTTTGAAGTTATGGGGCGAGCTTGCCGACCATTCAGCCACCTGTCTGTCAGCTGGAGACATTTAGAGCGAGAATTAATCTGGTGCTCACCAATGACTGACTGTAGGACGACGCTGCCTGGAGGTCTGGTGAGAAATCACGACTGAAATTGGATCCACCAGGTCAAGCGTGAGGACGAATACTCTCCGATGGTCAGTTGGATGAATAGTCATCGAGATTAGTCTCGTAACCTGGAGATACTGGGTTCGACCCCTGGTGATGGAGTCGTGAGCGTGCGTGCACTTATTTCATAGAAGATGAACCAATAACCGTGTAGGAGTGAATGCCCGGCGCTCTTCACCGGGTTGACTGTCCATTGGATGACAGTCTAGGGGAGATGGCTAAACCCTGATTCCAAACCTCCAACGACTGGCGTATGAAGCTCACTGGAGCTCACCGGCAGACGTATGGACAAAGGGCTTGTTGGATGTCTGGCCCCATTAAAAAGGCGTATGAACCGAACTCCGGTTACCGGCTGCCAATGGACAGTGGACTCCCTACTCCACTCCTACTGCCTTGTAGGTCACACTTGGTTGTGTAAAGGCTAGAGCTGCACTCTCAAACAAAAGGCCAAGCGATTCTGGGTACATCACTCGTACCAAATTCCCATGAAACTTCATGAACTCTCTTGCAAACGACTCTCACCATGCTACGGCGTTCCCGGTAAGCGACGCGCCCTGTGCTCACCCGGTGGCTTGGTACAGTCAAGGCTGATATGGAGTGCCTGGGGCTACAAACCGTCTACGGACTCCGTCTGTGGAACAAGAATTGGATAACCCTGTCGCAAAACCTTGCATCAGATCGCCGCGCCTGGGCAGCGATGATTCGAGATGTTCATGAAGCCGGCTCATCCTCCCGTAGGAGATAGCCGAAGTAAAGTAAAAGTAAGTAAGTAAGTAGGAGAGAATAAAACGAACTTCAGGAAGGCCAAAATTTATCGAAATCATTTACTGATGTTGTTAAGCGGAGGGATGAATTTTAAAGCAAAATCGGTTAGAAAAAGCCACGGAAATTGTACAGTAGAATCCAGACAATCAGATATTAATCGTCCATTAGTTTCGATCTCATGACATGTTTTTCATGTTCACCGACAGTGTTAAATTCTGTCCTATATATACAAATTATGTCACCAAATTAGTGAACGCTTTTGTGTAAGTACTGTAGTGTTCGATAGTTAGAATCGATGGTCAAGGAAGCTGGTTTATTCAGATTTCTGGTCACATTAGAAAAGTTTATATAGAGTTTGAATAAGAGCTGAGAAAAAAACGAATCACTTGTTAGCACCAAAACACGTGTTAACTCTCATCCCTTTCCAGTAAAACCTACTGCTAAGTCAAGAAGACATACCACATACTATAGAAGTGATCAGAACACACATTCGGATCCACATACTTTAGGTTTCCTGGAAGAAAACAACGGTGTGAGCTGCCACTATGTACTGTGTAATCTGCAAGTAAAGAAGTGGGTTCTGTGTATTTTCAGTTCGTCAAAGTAACTGGCTGGAATTTGAGTGTCCCAATTGAGTCTTACAGTGTAAACTGCTCATCTTAAACAGATTTGAATAAAGCCAGAAATAGGGAGAATCACCTATTACCACAGGTATGTTGATGACACCTTTGTGGTTTGCAGTAACGTGGAACATGCAATCACAATGTTTGAAGAAGTCGATGTGATTCACCCTCACACAATCAGTCATGAACGTGACGATCAGTTCCACTTCCTAGATTTCAGCAGAAAAAGAAAAAAATTATGGGACGATTGATAAATCCGTCTACAGGGAAAAAGGTTGAACTGGCCAAATACTTCAATTATCACATTTTCTGCGCGATTGGGTACAAATAGAGCCTGGTAAAAGCGCTCTTCAGCAGAGCTAGGGAGTTATGCCCTCCTGAACTCTCCAGCAGAATATGTATAAATTCACTCTTTTGTTCTATCTTGTAATTTGTCTCTAGTCCATCCTTGTTTCCAAGAGAAATTTGGACCTTACCCTCTCTCCCTTGTCTAGTTATTATATAAATAGTTACTCTTTTAACACTGAATAATTCGACTAATTACATCATCTTTGGAATTATTTTGCCTATACTTTCTCTCTACAACTCGAAGTCGTTGTAAAAAGTATGTTCAGACACTATTTTTCAACCTGTAACTGATTTCGTTTAGGATGTAAGCAGATAAAGAGAACCGACGAAAAAATAGGAGCTCGTATTATCCTATCTGCAAATATGTTCGTTCCAATGATAATAATAATAATAATCTGCTTTATTCTAAAAACAGTCCTTATATTACAGCATGGAATTCTCAGTATTTCTCACAATATTGCATATAATTTACTCAAAGTGTAAATAAAATTATCCACAGGAACGTTTCCACAATTACAGTAGGAATAAAGTCATAAATGTACAAAGTACAAAATGAGAATAATAACTATAGCAATGATAATAACAGTGGGTTTGTTTCAAACAATATCTTCGATACAGTATTGAAATTTTAGCATGTTATAGTGTAGTATTGAATCTAATGTTCACTTCACATATAGCATGGTGATGGGAAAAACAAAAAATAAAACAATTATTACAGAGCTTAAAGGATGTCTGTGTGCGTCGGTGGCGCGGAGGTAGAATGCTCGCCAACTACGCCACATGTAGTCTGGGGTTCGATCCCCGGCCGACGCACTCCTTAATTTCGCTAAGCCGATAATAAGACCGGTAAAGAGAGAAGGTTGGGCATGAGGCTGGTTAGCAACCCATCCCGTAAAAATAAACACCATTGATACGGAAACATCAAACCTCTAGCTCAAAGGTGCCCTATTTTCCACGAGAAACTCAAATGAATAAAAAATTCAATTATGTTTACACTTATGAGGAAATTATCCGGAAAAATTAGAGGATTATAAACATAAGAAGAAGAATAACAGTAAGGCTTGATGTTATAAGGGTGGAGAAAATTGTTTATTTACTAGTGCTAAGAAGGTTAGTTAATAAGTTAGTTAGTCCGTGCCTGACACAATTTGCATCACATAAAATACATGCCAAATATGGTATCGTGAAAGTTTAGCACTTAGATGTGCCAGCGTCAAGTCTTTTGAAGTGAAAGCTGCGAATACTGAGATGGATGCTCACAGTCTGACAAATCCCTCTGTGGCGAAAACATTCATTCAGACATCTGTTAAAACACGAAATAATTGAGCCAGTAAAGAATATCCTTTTCGATAATTTCCTCCTCTCGCTTTACAATTATATACATGCATGTTTATATACATAGAATATTCTAGGTTAGTAGTCAATAACAATATTAGTGTTTTATAAATAATATCGATTTGTTAAGTAAGATCATAATGGAATTACAGTTCATTAAAGATGCCTAAATTATAATAATAATAATAATAATAATAATATAATAGCAAATAGAATATCAACTAAAATTAAGGAAATTTCTACAAAAAATTCAGGATCATTTGAACCTAGATGGCCAAGTTAAGGATAATGACTGAACTAATTTCTTTTGGACCCATAGATTAGGCTTGTTAATATGGATCCCAACAGCTTCAGCAATATTTAGTAGTCGAGCTCTTAAGGCGAAATTGAGATTTATTGATGTGCGGTAAATGACCCTGAAAGCCTGGTTAACATCAATCCTGTGTTCTGTATCCACAAAAGGAGATAGAACAGCGTTGCGAATAGATTTTGTTTGTCCTTTGCTTAACCAATTTGCAGAGTGATGTTCGGAAATCCGACGACGCCCTTTAGCTGACTTATGGCATGAAGTTATGTGCCTATCAATCAAGATGTCGACGATATGGCCCAATAGGATACCACCACTTGCCCTATTGACAGTCTTCAGAGTTCTACGAAGTATGACGTAGTCTTTTTTGAGCAAGCTAAACTAATAAAGGGAACCGATTGTTTGCAATTATTGTTTCAATTAAATCAGAGATGTCTTTTCAAGAACTTCATACATTTGGTTCCCTCGATAAATTTCTATAGAGAAAAAAAGACCAGATTTGCAGTATGAAGTGATATCGTCATCATTCTATTTCACAGGTTCTCATCAGCTGCACACCACTACCTGAAATTACAGTGGTTACATATATAGATGGCAATAACATACTTTAATGTTTAAGTGGTAGTAGAGAAGAAATACTATAAAATTGATGCATCCAAAATGTAAGCAGCATCACAATTTTTAGTTTAAGCTTTCATCATCAATTTAAACGCTTTCGAAGTAGTAGAAAAGAGGGCTGGGAGGGGTAAGACAGAAAACAGAAGATATTAACAAACAGTGTTAGCTCGTAGGTTCACATAGCAACTCAAAAAAAATAAAAGAGAAACAAAATCGGTTACAGTATATCAGAATGAGATTTGTTCAGTGAGTTGAGATCACGGAATTAGATGACTAATGTAATTAATGTAATCAAAATGGAAATTCAGTTATCAAGGGAGTGAGAGATTAATCACACTCTTTTTCTGTATGCATAAGTCTGGTTGGTTTGAATCGTTTGATTGCGATGGCTGTGACAAATAATAGTGTAACAACAGAAGACAAGGGCCAGGCAACAGATCTTTTATTTAGGAAATCAACACATATTTATAGATTTTCATGTACATTATTATAATAGATTATTGTTAGCAAACAAACACAGTCTTCCGATTGGTGGTTTCTCGCTGAAAGTTAATCTTTCATCTCTTTGTGGCCATTTCTTGAAGTTCAGATTATTTATCTGCAAATTGTATCCGCCTACGCAAACAAAGTGTGCTGTGATTGGTTGTTGAGTTAGTCTTTGTTCTTGTTCTTTTCTCATTACCAATATTTGGGACGTAAATTACTGTCTACTAATTTTTGGCGATTATACATCTCATCCAACAGCTGTAAGACAACGCTGCATGCCAAGTAATCCACAACGGGAAACTTACGGAATCCTTCGAAGTGAGGACAGGGGTAAGACAAGGCTGGCTGCCTACTATCGCCAATGTTTTTCCTGATTGCAGTAGATTGGATAATGCGACAAACAACGGGCGATGAGGAAACAGGCATAAAATGGATTCACACAAAAAACTTGGAGGATCTGGACTTCGCCGATGATATATATCTGATTTCCCACAAACTGGAAGGTATGCAAGCGAAAAGCAACAAGTTGGCAGAAGAAGCATCGACAGAAGATAAGACTTCAGGTGAACATAGAGAAAACAGAGGTGATGAAAATTCCTGGGCAACACCACCAATAGCAACAAGAACAACAGGCAACAATCAGCACAAATGGGAGGAACCTGAAAGAAACAACCTCCTTCACCTGCCTACCTGGGAAGCATCATTTCAAATACAGGCCAATGGAACTGACGAGGATATCAAAGCAAGAATAAGAAAAGCAAGACAAGCTTTCACTACTCTCAAGTCTGTGTGGAGGTCAACAGCACTATTCAGCATCAAAAATAAGATCCTGATTTTCAACTCCAATGTGAAGTCATTGCTACTATACGGATCAGAGACTTGGCCAGCGCGTCATAAAGAGCATCTCAAACAAACTACAGACCTTCATTAACAGTTGTCTTCGCTCAATACTACTCAAGATCAGATGGCCGGCCAGAAAAGATCAACAACAGAGTTGGATCTCTGGGAGCGAACCAATCCAGCAGGAACCGATTGTGCAACAAATAAGAAAGAACAAATGGAGATGGATTGGCCATACTCTGAGAAAACAAACCATCAAGTGACATCACTAGACAAGCCATCGCTCGAGTGGAACCCGAAAGGGAAGCGGCAAGTTGGTCGTCAGTGCAAGGGTGACTTGGAGGAGGTCATGTGAAAAGGAGATGAAAACGTGTGGACAGACTCGGAGGCAGGTGAAGACTTTAGCAGAGATCCGAACGCAATGGAGACGTACGGCTGAAGCCCTATGTTCCTGTAGGATTTTAAGGAAACAATAATAATAATAATAATTTTTGGCTAGCAGCCAGCTCTCATCACAGTAGTAAACATTAAATTATGTTATTATCATTGTCTGTATAACCATTGTAATTTCAGGTAGTCTATGGCAGCTGATGAGAACCTGGGAAACAGAATGATATCGTTTTATACTGCAAATCTGGTCCTCTTTTCCTTTTTTATCGTAATTCAGAGGTATTTCCTTTTATTTTAACGTACAATTTTGTTAATGTTTCTTTACTGTTTGTGCTTCTATTCGCTTCTATTCAGGATTTCAATACAATGGAATCATTGGATAATGATTACTTTCTGTACAGTTTACAAGCAGCTATATTCCATGGTCTTATACCTTCCAGCCAATCAAATAACAATAACAATAATAATAATAATAGTAACAATAACCAGTATACTTTCCATGATACAGACAAATTCCAATTCCCATATACAAGAACAAGTATTATTCATGAAGAGTTTGATCCATCCTTTGGAGAAGATTTAGGCCTTGGCAATAGTCGTGTCTCTTCCACGCTGAGTGCATATTCCTCGTCGAATAGAAATTCAAAGACACTATCACCTGATTTTATGAATCTGAGTAATGCTAGTAGCAATGCTAGTAATATGAGTAATGCTCGGTTTAAATTCCCACCACCTGGTCCCCCGGTTGCTGGTTGGGTTAATCAGTTTATTTTACACAGTGCTGCTACACCAGAAAATACCATGCTGACTACTACGATACCACCGCCTCCATCGACACGAAGTGAAAGGCGATTGTCTCATTCACAACAACAACAGAAGACGTCTTCATCGTTAATCAATAGCCCAGTGAATAATTCATCAGTTACAGTGATTGACATCGCTGATTTGTCAATGAAGACTTCTACCGCTGCTGCTGCTGCTGCTCTTGTTGGTACAATGAAGTCAACTCCAGGGAACAGGTGTATTTCATCCGTACCACCGTCACCACAACACATTCCATTCCAGTATGTTCATTCTTCGCGTTCACTTGGCTTAACTTCTTCAAGTATTATACCAAGAAGACATGCAGCTAAGAAATATTCTTTCCAGGAATCACCTATTATAAGTAATGCGAAAAATTCACTTGTGAATAATCCACCAAAGTCAGGTAAGTTAAATAAATTGGGTGAAATTTGCTTTCCATTGAGACATTCTTTATTGATTTTGTGTATTTGTTAGTCTGTACTGAAGGACACAGGTCCAGATCTCCAAGAAGACGTTAGTATCTTCGGGGCACTCAACTTTTCAAGCAATAAGTGTTTGGTGTTCGAATCCCACCTGCTCTACTTCAGCCCTGGCAGTTAACTGTGAAGTATATCAGATTATAATAATAATAATAATTATTATTATTATTGTTTCCTTTAATTCCTAGAGGAACATAGGGCTTCAGCTGCGTGTCTCCATTATGTTCGGTTCTCCGCCACCGTTCTCACCTGCCTCCACGTCTGCCCACATGCTTTCATCTCCTCTTCACATCACCTCCTCCATATTACCCTCGCACTGACGACCAACTCACCGCTTCCAATTCGGTCGGGTTCCACTCGAGCAATGGCTTGTCTAGTGATGTCACTTGATGGTTTCCTCAGAGTGTGGCCAATTCACTTCCATTTCTTCCTGCTTATTTGTTGCACACTCGGCTCCTGCTGGGTTAGTTCGTTCATTGCCAGAGATCTATGTTGCTGATCTCCTCTGGCCGGCTATCTGATTTTGAGTAGTATTGAGCGAACAAAAAAGCTGTTGATGAAGGTCTGTATTTTTTTTCAGGTGCTCTTCATGACGCGCCAAGTGTCTGATCCATAAAGTAGCACTGAATTCACATTGGAGTTGAAAATCTGGATCTTATTTTTCATGCTGAGTAGCGCTGTTGATCTCCACACAGACTTGAGAGAAATGAAAGCTTGCCTTGCTTTCCCTATCCTCACACTTTGATATCCTCTTCAGTTCCGTCCGCCTGTAGTTGAAAGGATGCTTCCCAGGTAGGTGGGTAGGTGAAGGAGGTTGCTTCTTTCAAATTTCTCCCATTCATGCTGATTGTTGTCTGTTGTTGTAGCTGTTACTTTTGGTCAAGAATCTTCATCGCTTCTGTTTTCCCTATGTTCACCTGAAATCCTATCTTTGATGCTTCTTCTATCGCCAACTTGTTGCTTTTCACTTACATATGTTCCAGTTTTTGGGAAATCAGACGGATATCATCGGTGAAGTCGAGGTCCAGGTGTCATCAGACGTCATCATAAAATAATTGTGTCTCACACAAACTCTGAGATCTAAAGGTGAAATCCAACAAGTTGGCAAAAACGGCAGCCGACACACGACCTCGATGGTGGAAATCCAAAGAGTCGAGTATTTCAACTACAAGCGGCACGGATGAGAATGATAAAGCCAGCCTTCACATCTCTCGATACCAAAGATCAGATGACCCACCAGAAAAATATAGGCAATAAGAACCTCTGGCATGCAGCATACTAAACAGCAGTATAGTGTTTAACAGGTTATACAGAAGGAGGTGTAGATAGATTCGATATGCTCTGAAAAGGCCACTGAGTGAAATCAAATGCGAGACATTCGAATTGAACTCGAATGAGGAGCGGAAAGTTGGACGCGCAGGTCTGAGGATGACATAGAGGAGATCGTGTCAGGGGAAATGAAAGTATATGGGCAAGCGCACGCTGACAAAATCTGATGCAGTAATCTGCTAATGTTTGATATGCGATCCGCTCCCGTCAAATGTAAGATGATGCTACAGGACTGGACTACATCAACTCAGTCCTAGCTCAAAGATAGCCAGGACTGAAGGGGTTGGTGAAGCTTGTTGACCACTTCACTTATTTTGGAGGTTGCATCAGTCAGCCCAGACGGTTGATTGCTAACGAAATCTCAGCATGGATACAGTTGGCATTTGCCAACAACTTATGCCACCTCTCGCTTAGTGGACATGATATCCAACTGGCTGTCGACCAAAGGAAATGTGTGATGCTCAGTAGTTGGCTCTGTCCTCCTGTATATCTCTGAGACATGGCCATTGAAAGTGGAAGATACGAAAAGGCCAGCTAGTGGTCTTTGATCATAGGTGTCCGAGTTCTAACTGCCATGTCAGGTGGTATAATGGGGTAAGCAATATTAAGGTTGGATGTCGCGTTTTAGGTAACGAGGAGGGAAAATAAGTTGATGAGGTTTTGAAGGTGAAGAGATTGAAACGGGTAAGGCATGTGTTACGCATACGAATCCATTGCTTTCCCCGACACAAAATGTAAACTGACTGACATCGTATCAGATTGGAAAAGATCTAGTGGTGTTCAGACCATTCAATGAAATCCACAACAGTTAGCATAAATAAGGCAGCCAGCCACGTAGAAAGGTGTAGACTATGTGGCTGGCTGGCTGGTTGGTGTCTTCGGGATGGTAAGAACCAGTGACGGCTGGAGACAGTTACGGGTGACATGGCTCAAAATCGTTCTCAGTGATAGTGCAGATGCATTCACTCTTTATGATTTTGTCATATCCAATAAAATTCTATTTTTATTCCATATTAGTATTCTTTTTGCCTCATACTTCTGTTTATTATCTATCCCTATGGAATCACTCTCTACTGTTTTCGCTTGCTTTTTTTGATACATGGAGGGGGAGTGTAGCAACTCGAACTGCTGAACATCTGTGCACAGTTCTACGTTGAAAAACCAGTCAGTCACAGGTTGACCTAACGATTGCTCATACGCTTTGATCTCCTCCTTACACGATCTCCTCTATACCGATTTCAGACCAACACCCAACTCGTCGTTTCCCACTTCAGTGCCTTTCTGACGTCTGGTGTCTCTCAACATCTCCTTATGCATATTTATTAAACCAGCCACAGGTCCTTGGGTGCGTCGGTGACGCAGTGGTTGAGTGCTCGCCAACTATGTATGTGGTCCAGGGTTCGATTCCCGGCCACCGACGCACTTCCCCACCTCGCTAAGTCAGTAATAAGACTGGTAAAGAGGGAAGGTTGGGCCAGGTGAGGCTGGCTAGCCACCCTATCCCGTAAAAATAAACACCACTGCTACTGACACTTCAAGCCTCTAGCTTGAAGGTGCCCTATGTTCCACCACTGGGAACGTGAAGGAATAAGAAAAAAAGATAGGTTGTTGGTCATTTTACTTCCTACCAGAGTCTCATTAGTGTTTATCCTTCTTTTCTGACTGGTCGACCGGCCATCTGATCATCAATATCGATCCAGAAATAGTAGCTATTAATAGTAAGTGTAATAAATTAATAGTTATTTTAGTTAGTGGAACTATTTGTAAACAATGAGATGGCATCTAGTGAGATCATCGTTTGATTAGAAACATTGACGTTTTCGATGCAGTTGACGAATTCAAATGAATCTCGCACTGAGTGGCGGGAGACTTGTGTTTCTGATTGGTTCAAATAAGTCTGTTAGCCATTGGGCAGTGCGATGGTAAGAGGTGAATTAGTCATGTCGACGATCGGTCGAAGTGGAATGCCCATCTTGTGTACTTTAGGAAGTCCGTAGAGCCTTTACTATATTTGAACCAGATGGTCTCAGAGATTCAAACATTTCGTTGGTAATGAATGATTCGTTCTTTAATTTACGGAGGATGTCTGTTTTTGTTTTTGTTCAATCTGCTCCGTCATGTTTTTCTCGTTGGCCGGTTTGGTGAATTTAGATTCATGAACCGTGAGGATATTATATCAGTAAAATGTTGACCATTCTATCTGATGAATCTAAATTAATAGTTATTCACAAGCTGTACAATCAATAAGCAACATTCTTTGGCAGTGGATTAGCCTCAGAATCACTCTCTCTATATTAATATTATTATTGTTCCTTTGGGTTCTTAGTGTAACATAGGGCTTCAACTGCACGCCTCCACTTGCTTCTGTCTTCTGCTGTATTTTTCACTTGCATCCATGTTAGTCCATACTGTTTTAACTCCTCTTCACACGATCTCCTCCATGTCACACTTGGACATCCCACTCGTCGCTTCCCTTTCGAGTTCCACTCGAGCAATGGCCTGACGCGCGATGTCACCCAGCGGCCTCCTCAGCGAGTGTCCAACTCATCTCCACTTTCTCCTGAATATTTGTTGAGCGATTGGTTCTTGTTTCGTTTGTTCCCATAGTTTCTTGTTGATGATTGTTTCCGGCCATCTGATCTTCAGTAGAGAGCGAAGACAGCTGTTGTTGATAAAGGTCTGCAACAGGCTGTTGGAAATATTCTTTGTGACCCACCAAGTTTCTGATCCATCCGTATAGAAGAACTGATTTGACGTTTGTATTGAAAATCCGAATTTTGTTGTTGATGCAGGCTGAGTGACAGCGGAAGATTTCCGGATTGGTTTAAGGTTGATGAATGTGTTTCTCGCCTTCCCGATTCTCGATTTGACATCCTCGTCCATGCCATCTGCCTGTAGTTGAGACGATGCTCCCTAGATAAGTGAATGAAGTAACCTCTTTCATCAAATCCCTCCCGTTGATGGTGATTGGCGCTGGATGTTGCTGCTGTTGTTGTTGTTGTTGTTGTTGGTTGGTTATTTTCATAACCTCCGTGTTGTCTTTGTTCACCTGGAGTCCTGTCTTCACCGACTGCTTCTTCGAGCAGTTTGTGGGTTTTCGCTTGTAAATCTTCGATTTTGTGTGACATCAAACATAAATCATCCACGCGCGAAATCCAGGTCTTCTAGGTTGTTCACATCCATCCAGGATATCCCAGTCTTCTCGTTTCCTACTGTCTGATGCATAATCCAGTCGACCACAATTAGGAATATCATTGGTGATAATAAGCACCCTTGTCTGACTCCTGTGCTTACTCCAAACGCCTCGCCTAGATTACTAGGTCACTAGTATTCTAGCCGGTCCCAAGCCCGGATAAAGAGGGAGGGTTGGGGCGTGGTGCTAGCAACTCCACCCGCGAAACCTAACCAAATTGCTACAAAAACTTCAGCGCACAAATATATCAAATTTCTGTCTCTACATATAGTGCATAATTGATTGTTATTGTTGTTTTTGTTAATATTATTATTATTATTACTACTGATGAAGAACTTGTGTGTATCTTTGATGTGTCTTGTTTGGTTTAATTTACGGCTAATATTCTCCAATTTCTGTTTTCTCTTTCACTATTTTTCTGAATAGATTTATTAGTAAAATCGAATAATTCTTCGATTGTTCTGACTAATACAGCCGTGAATAATGACAGCGGATTGTTTATGTTATTCAGCGACAACACTACTACCAATACTACTAATAATGCTACTAACAATGACGCCAACAATCCTACCACGAACAACAATAACAATAATACTAATACTGGCAATGAAGATGACGAAATGCCTAGCCAATGTCAACAGAGTCCCATTAGTTATACCGACGGGAACTATTGCGACAGTGGTTACCATGATTCAGTGATTATCGCTGAACAATCTTTACTATCCTCTCTGTCTGCAGAGCATTCGCTAGATTTACAATTATCTCCAGTATTACTCATATCAGAAAATCAATCAAAAATCGATTTATTGAATAATAATAATAGTAACAATAATAATAATGATGATGATCGTAATAATATTACCCCTGATGATGACATAATCCCACTATCTAATAATGATACAGACAACAAATTCAGAAATCAATTAACAGAGGACAGTACTCATACAAATACCGCCAGTTTGAGTAAAAGTCTTCAGTTCACCTATTCAAAATTAGATACACCAAAACCTCTACCGATTTCATCACCAACTTCACCATTGATATCGTCAGCATCCTCCTTGTCGAATAATTCAACAAGTACAATGGCAAGTTCAACAAATAGTAATACTGTAATGCTACTTCGGGATAATGCCGGTACGTTTTAATGCATCATTGATATCGATTGTGCTTGTTTATTCTAATATATATATATATATAAATGAAGCCGTTGGTTCCTATGACCCTTGCAAAATCGATGATACTGATATAGAAACCCAGTCTGAAGTTAAGTATCTTGGATTAGTTCTCTCTTCTGACCTATCCTGGTCTTCTCATGTCTTAGCGATTTCTCAAAGAATATTTCGTCTGACTTTTTACATTAAGAAGTTGAGGCACTCAGGCATAACCCAACCACTCCTCTTACAGTTTATCAACTCGTGTATTTTACCTATTCTTCTTTACTGTTCACCATTATTCTTTCCTGGATTGCTTAAAAAGGACTATGTCATACTTCGTAGAACTCTGAAGACTGTCAGTAGGACGAGTGGTATCCCATTGGGCCATATCGTTGGCATTGTCACCGATAGGCATTTGATGTCATGCAACAGATTCGCTAGAGGAATTTTGTCAGACTCTGAGCACCCACTCTACCAGCAGCTCCAACCTTGTGTCTCCTCAGGTAAAACAAGAAGTCTTTTCAGAAGACTTTATGCACGTACGTCTAAGTATAAAAATTCCACCATACCATATTTAGCACGTACTCTATGTGATGAAAATAGTGTCAGAAATGAACTAACTAACCTTCTTAGCACCACTAAATAGACCATTTCCTTCACCCTTAAAGCATCATACTTTATTGTTATTGTATTTCTTATATTTATAATCCTCTCAATTTTTTCGTTTTGTTTATTTTATTTTTCATAAGTGTGGACATAATTTTAAGCTGTATTATGACTGTTAACTTTGTATTTCACCTCACTATACCATATCAACAGAACATTAGACCCAATTATCCATAACATGCTAAAGTTTCCAAACTGAATCGACAATACCGTTTGAAACAAACTCACTGTTATTAGTATTTATTATTATTATTATATCTAATAATTATGTCGTTAATGTGGACAAATTCCTCCGATTAATTTTTGTTTTAATTTTTAATTTTATATACATTTTGAGTAAATCAGATGCAATATTGTGACAAATGCTGAGAATTCCATTCTGTATTATAAGTACTGTTTTCGCAATAAAGTAAATTACTATTATTATTATTATATATTGAGAAGACGGTTGCAGCGAAAAAAATTTTCCTCTCGACGAAGTCATCAACTAGGCTGTGCACTCGTGTTTTTAAATTAAATGTGCGTGTGAGAAAGTTCCAGAATTTGAATAGAGCGAGAACTACAGTTTTTGCAGAATAAAATGGTACCATCATCGCTCATTTCGTCACCTTCTCATCAGCTGCTTACAGGCCACGGTCATTATTAAGTATATCTACAGAAACAATTTTAACATACTTGTACAGAGGTCATTTTTAAACAAAAATCAATCAATATATGCATACAGTATAAATATATAATAATAAACACTTTATCCCAAAAATTACTGATCATATACAATGGAAACTTTTGGCATTACGCAATCAGATGAAAGAGAGGGAGAAAATATCCAGTTACCAGGGCAAAGAAAGACTGATAACTGCTTCTTTCTGAATGCACAATTCAGGTTTCAGACGCTTGATGAAGATGGCTTAAGCAAGCTTGAAGAGAATTAAACTCTTTTGCCTATTGATAGTTTTGAACAAAGATGCCTGGCGATGGCACTGTTTAAAGTATTTATTCCCTTTAGACATAAATCGGTGTGTGTGTGCCTTTCTTTCTGTCCTTCCAATGTAACTGCTCCCACAGATACATGTAAATTTGTTATATACAGTTGGAGTTAACATGAGAAGGATACCTATCGATTTTTGATTGCACCAAAGAGCAAGTTGTTCAATAGACTGGAACCAGCTTAGTTAGCAGCAGGATAGGCTCCGACTAGTGAAGTACTCTGTCTTCTGTTGATCATCGCTGAAATGTTTTCACCTCCTCAAGTTTGCTGAATCCATCTCCATCAAGCGCCTGAAACCTGATTCGTTCATTCAGAAAGAAACAGTTATCAATCTTTCTTTACCCTCCAGCCTGGTAACTGGATATTTTCATCTCTCTTCCATCTGAATACGTAATGATGAAAGTTTCCATTGTGTATGATCACTATTGTTCGGAATAGTGTTTAATATTACATATATATATATATATATATATATATATATATATGATTACTGTATGCATATATTGATCGATTGATTTTTGTTTAAAATGAACTCTGTGGAGGTATGTTAAAATTGTTTCTGTAGATATACTGATTAGTGACTGTGTTCTGTAAGCAGCTGATGAGAAGCCAACGAAATAGGCGCTGGCGGTACCATTTTATTCTGCATAAACCGCTGTTGTTCTTGCTTTATTCAAATTCATTTAGGGAAATAAATGTATGAAAGTTCCAGAATTTTTTCCGGTCAGAGGTCAGATTAATAAAATTCCAATCTATAATAATCAGGAATATAAGGTAGAAAAGACAAAATAGGCTTATTAATTACTGGAAAACTCGTTAGTTTGTTTAACTGCGGGTTAATAATAGCAATAACAAGATGGGTAGGAGGTTCGGACATATAAAGCTAAAAACAGTAATCAAATCTAATAATGTAGATAGGGATTTAAAAAAGGAAAATATGACAGAAACAAAATGGGAAGGTTGGACAAGAAAGTTAATAGGATAATCATTATTGGTGAAACTGACTTTTCATGATGACCACGGTAGGGACAACGGTTGAACGTATTTCTTTTGAACAAATAGCGTGGGTTTGAGTTTTTGGATCTCCAGTGCTTCAGTTTTTCCTAGATGTCGTGATTTCACCCCCTTTGGTATGTTGGATCGGATTTTGTATATTATGGCTTTGAAGGACTTTTCAAATAGGGCTGACTGTCCAGAATTCACCAGATGTTCTGTTGTCGAACTGTATACCCCTTTGCGTTCTCCCCTTGCTAACCCTGCCGGGTAATGTTCCCACGCGCTTTTTACAAGTGGATGCATGGTATGGCCAATGTACTCAGCTCCACATGAGCAAGTGAAGTGGCCCAATGCGACAGCCTGTCTTTCACGCGTTGGGTGAGTAGTTTCTTTCAAGAGAATGTTATTCGTAGGCTGGTGGCGAAGTATGTTTTCCTGAGAGACTTCGAAAGCCGTCTACGGAGAATTTCTGCTTCGGTATCACGTTTAAATTCGAGGTTCAATATCAGCCTCTTTCTGGGGGGTAACTTGGACCTTCTCAGGTGTTTTCTTTGGTTTTAGATTCTTGTCTATGAATCTAGGTGGGAATCCGTTTTCAATCAAGTTCCCTTAGAGATTTTGTAACTCTTCGTCGATTGACTCTTCGGTGCAAATCATCCGTATCCTCGAGGAAAGAGAGTATATTAGGTTTCTCTTTCTGCTTAGAGGCATACAGCTTTGAAGTTTAATAAACTGTCCGTTCCATGTAGGCTTTTTGTATTTATGGATCTTCTTACCGAGTTGTCTGCATTCCTTTGTAGTTGAACGTCGAGGAAATGAAACATTGAGTTAGACTCAACTTCCAGAGTGAAGTCGATTTCTGGGTGGGCGTTATTGAAGATTTGTAGTAGGTTTTGTTAGATTACAATTCTCATCACAAATAATGTTTATTACATTTAGTAATTTCAGTAATCTGACCTCTGACCGGAAATCATTCTGGAACTTTCTCACACACATTTAATATAAATACATGAATGTACAGCCTAGTCGATGATTTCATCGAAAAGAAAATTTTCTTCACTGCAACTGTCTTCTTATTATTCCCTATGATCAAATGTTTATATTCCGTGATATATATATATATATATATATATATATATATTAACTGTGACACTCTTTCAGTAAGCAAGTGTACTTCCAATTCGTGATGTATACAACTTAGGGTTTGACCAACATTGATCTAATGAGGAGTTTAATATGTTCTCTTACATTTTTCTATACACGTATTATTATACATTATTATTTCCTTGGGTTCCGTGTAGGAAGTTGAGCTTCAGAAGCACTTTTTCAACGCACACTGTCCACTCTGCTGTCACTTTTTTAACTGGCGCAATGATTTTCCGTGATCTTTTATTTCCTCATCACATCATCTATTTTGTGCCATTCTTGGAAATATGCCCAACTCTTCACTTCCTTTTCAGGTGCCACTCAACAGCAAAGAATGTTATATCACTCAGGGGTCTCCTCAACGTGTGTCCTTATGAATATTTTTTTTGATCAATCATAGGCTGGTTTCTCTTCCTATGGGAGTTTCTTGTTGATTAACGTTTCCAGGTGGCCTTCTGAGCTTCACTGTCGACAGCCTCTATTGATGATTTCCTGACGTAACGTTTCTCAAATGGTTTTAGTGACTCGCCAATTCTTTAAAATAATATAGAAATTTGAACAAGACATTTAGAAGACAAATTTCGCGAGATGATATGGTCATTTCGTAGTTTCTTTACAACCGCTTTAAAACTAACATGGTTCACAATAATAAAATAAAGTTCATGACAATTACTCAGTTATATAAATAAAGCAAAAGTACATACTAATGACCAATCATATTTAAATAGGTAAAGTGGTCATTTCATGGTAGGCGAAGGTTGAAGTCTAATGTTTTTTGTACACACACGGCTTTGGATGTATGTGATTAGTCCCCTAAGTGCTTCCATCACCTTCGTTGAACTCTACTTCAAACTGTATCTACAAGTTCACCGGCAGTTACTGTGATACCTATATAGGTAGAACCAATAGAATGTTCCAATGTCGTCGAAAAGAACGTGTTCCAAAATGGTTACTAAAACATAGAAAATCCCAATGTAATTAATCTGAATAGAAATCCAGCATCATCCATTGCAAAACACTTATTAATGTCAGGTCACAAAATCAATATTAATGGCTGTCTCACAATTATTTCACATAACTCTAATTCAAGGTTATTGAAGGTGATGGAAACACTTTGGATTAATCACATACATCCTAAACCGTGTGTGTACAAAAAACAGTAGACTTCAACCTTCGCCTACCATGGAGAGTATACTTGACCTATTTAAATATGAATGGTCATTAGTATTTACTTTTGTTTTTTATATAACTGAGTAATTGTCATGAACTTTTTTTATTATCGTTAACTATGTTAGTTGTAAAGTGGTTGTAGAGAAACTACGATATGATACCATCATCTCACGAAATTTGTCTTCTTAATGCCTTATTCAAGTGTATAAAAGGGACTAATTGTTTTAATACAGAAATAGTGACTTGACAGTACTGATGTCTAGAGATGATCACTGAATATTAGGAAAGAGAAATAAGAGCAACCTGATCCTGATGAGAACTTTAATGCCTCCTTTTTATTAATTTTCGTTTAATTGTCTTTTCTCCAAATTTTTGGTTTATTTAATATGCTATGTAGAAGCCATTTATACCGTTTAGTGTGCTATAACTTATAACTGCAAATTTTTTACGTAATATTTTGCTATTTTTTTTCCAAGATTTTAAGGCTGTATAAAAAACCTTGAGTAAAATAGAGAAGATTTGTAACTAGGGTGCTTTCTCACCTGGATGGTTTGTAGTTGGTGGTATGTACTACTGACTGATCGATATGAGTAGTTGACTACCCCTCATTTCAATCAGTAGTGTTTGTTAGCTGGAAAGAAGTGATCATATAATAACACATCGGATGGCTGTTTCACTTGTTTGAGGCGCTATTTCATCAGCAATGTACCCCTGTCCCACTCTCGATTCAAACCAGCTGAATTCTTCATCTATTTATTTACATTCTAAATCACTAATGAGTTACCTGTATTTCAGAAGAACTTCAGAGAAGCATATCTTCGCTTCATTCTCTTCTTAAAAACACAATATTCAGCGAAAAGACTCTCTCCAACAACGAATTTATCACCAAGCTGTACAATCGTATATATATGGTCTTTTTAAGAAATTACATCCGGTGAGGGAATGCAATCATACATGTGAATACATGAAATAATAATAATAGTAGTATGAAATGCAATTAAAACTAAAATATTTGTGATTATAATCATAGTTAAATGTCAAGTAGCAAAATAATTAATGTTGTATATAGAATAATATATAAGGTGTATAGATTTTGGAAAGGGGTGCATAATTATAGGATTAGTGGGCGAATATAAAGTATTACATAACATGGTGTGAAATTTGATATGATAGAATTAAATATTGTAAAATTGAAAAAATAAAAATTAATAATTTTGTGTTTAGAATGACAAGTGGAAACAATTAGGAGTGAGAATAGTAATAATAATAATAATCGTAGTAATAAGGGAAAGGTACATAGAATAACTAAATAAACAAAATGAATAAATAAATGTCTATCCCTATACGACCAAGGCAGAAGTAGGGATTGTACATACTTCTTTTGTACAAAAAGGTCTAGCTTAAAGTCATGAATTGCCAAGGCCTCCGTTGTCTTCAGAAGTCTGTACCGAAGAAGACGCGGCCGGCTAGTTAGCATGGATTCTGTAAATGATCTTAAAATCATGATCAGGGTTGACAGAGTGACAGAAGTCGATCAGGTGCTCCAGAATAGAGCTTCTCGCACACTTCCTTTTTCCCTTGTAAAACCATACTGCTGAAATATGTTCTTGTATCCGTGTGGAAAGCGTCCTCTGGCCAATGTACGGCCAATATGCCTTTCTCCACAAGATGAGCAGGTGAACTGATAGATGCACAAGGAGGCGGCCAAACGGAGGAGGAGCTTATCTTTTTTTACAGAGGTGGAGAACAACTTGCGGCTGGTGAACGTCATATATGTAATTTTGCTGCAAAGAACGTCTTACACTGACTGCTTCATTCTGTGTTCTCTCTCTTGTCTTTTGTAGCTGACTTGACAACTGCGCATACATTTTTATTTCCTCCACACATATTCTCCTCTATGTTACCCTGGGACGCACGTTCAAGTTGTCGTTCTCCATTTGGGTTCTACTGGAGAGTCTGTCTGGCGGATGTTGTCGCTCAACCATATACTCAGAGTATGTCTAACTTTATCTACTTTCTCTTCTACATATTTGTTAGGCTCTTGGTTTTGATAAGTTTCCAGAGCTCCTTGCTGCCTAACTCTTGTGATCATCTTCAGTGTAGAGTGGAGGCAGCTATTAGAATGGTTAAAGCAATTCATTGGATACACAGTTGGCGGAGAAAGAATAACCTCTGTCGTTAACTATCACTCTCGACAGTTGTCCAATCGTATGATAGCCTATTATTTGGTTTTATAGGGGTTATATCAGAAGTGATCACCGAGCAAGCCGTTTCTGTCACTTAATCTACCATGATTCCAAACCTGTATGTTCTTTCTGTATAGTGAACTTATCAGGTGTCACCACCATCTTCACACTTTTCAAGTGGGTGGTATGTGATCAGCCCCTATCTGATCTAATAGTGCTTTTCACTTTGTCAAATTTAAAACCCTTACCTGCGTTGTTGTCATTGTTGGTTACGTCATCTTTTTCTATCCTTAGAAACCACTTCTGAGTAACTGTATCGACAGAAGCTTGAGCAATGTGGTGGTATTAAGTGATTCCATGTTAATTTGTTTATTAGATATCACACACACACACACACACACACAGTGAAACAGTATTATTTACTAGATGACGTTCCGAACACAATTCATCACTGTTAATAATAATTATAACATCGAAACTTGAGTTTTATAGTTTTTTTTGATGTGGTTATGTTCTCTGAGCTGGATAGTTGATTTGCGAAACTTTCATCACCTTTCATCACCCCAAGCAAACCTATCAAACCAAAAGCCCCCAAGGAAAGCACAAAGAAATTCGCCCTGTCATATATAAAAGATATCTCAGAAATCACTGCAACACTCTTCAAACCTTTAGGAATTGACGTCACACACAAACCAGCAAAATCACTTCACTCAGCTGGTTGTGTGTCAACCAAAAGACTCAACAGCGAAAGAAGATAAAACCAACATCATCTACAAAATAAATTGTAACAACTGCGAAAAACACTACATTGGCCAAAGTAGACGTCCCTCCTTTTCGTCTTCGTATCCACGAACATAAGCTAGCCGTCAAAAGACATGATATCCACTCCCTCATATCACTCACTGCATACAGACAACCACGGACATCAATTCGACTGGGACAATGTTCAAATACTAGAGAAAGGAAACACCAAGAATGCTAGAGAATTTTTAGAAGCCAGCCTGCTATTCCAGTGAATCGTCAATCAATAGACACAGTGACATAGACAAAAGTTAACAATCGATTAGAAAGAAACCTCACACACAAAGGGTCAAAGTTCAAGTCAAAGAAACAATTAGTTCCAATATAAGTAGCCTAGAAGGTGTGAAAATGCACGAAAACAACCAATCACGTCCAAGGCCACCGGGAGAGATGATTAATAAACTCGTGGAGAAATCTAAAAGCTCACTTCAATTCAAATTGAAGTATGCGCTGAAGATGTCACCTAGTAAGGTGATGAAAGCTTCGCAAATCAACTATCCAACTCAGAGAACACAACCACATCAATATCATCCACCTGAGCTACAAACCTTCTCCATCATATCTATGGTTTTCCTAGTTCTCTCCTGTTTGTCGTCGAAGGTAGGGGTATTAGAATTTTCCAAATGCACGAGTGGACAGGTTTTGAATCCTTTCTATTACACGTATTATTAGTTGATTTGATAAATAAAGCTTCCGTTATCAATCCTACTCCCTCTAACTCGCTAGATTTTAAATCTGTTATCTTATCCCACCCATCCTATTGCATGGTTGTGTGTAACTGCATGTAGGGAGTGCTACAGCTGAACTATTGTCCAGACTTTTTTTTATCTTATTAGGCTCACCTAATCTAGATTTCCCAAATTGGTTTCATTAACCTGAAACCAGTTTGGAAATCTTCTGTACTCAGCGTAAGGAACAAGATTCGCATTTCCAAAACCAATGCCAAGTTGGTCCTACTATACAGGTTAGAAACTTTCACTGCCTGTCACGAAAAGGATTTCCAACAGGTTGCAGCTGCCATTTTCGTTCTATACTGGTGATCAAATGGTCAAAAAGAATTAGTAAGAAGAAACTCTGACTGTGAACAAACCAGCAGGCGAGAGCCGACTGTTCAACAAGTAGATATGTGGGAAAAAATGGAGACGGATGGACTGAGCATACATTTCAGGAGGCCGTCGAATGACATCGCGTGCAATGCAGGCCAGTGCTCAAGTGGAATCCGAATGGGAAGCGACGAGTGATGGCATGGAGGAGATCGTGTGTGGAGGTTGAGATGAGAGATTACAGTCAATCTTGGGGTCCGCCTGCTGAATAGGACAGCAGGGAACAGAAGAAAGTGTAGATACGTTGTTGAAGCTCTACGTTCCACTCGGAACCCAAGGAAATAAAAGTATAATAGTAATAATTTAGATTTCGCTAGGTTTGTGTTTTCCGCTAGTGTAACTGACTGACTGACTGACCCCATTCTACTACTCTAACAACTGCGAAAAACACTATATTGGCCAAAGTGGACGTCCCTCCTTTTCGTCTTCGTATCCGTGAACATAAACTAACCGTCAAAAGACACGACATCCACTCCTTCATATCGCCTCACTGCATACAGACAACCACGGACGTCAAGTTGACTGGGACAATCAACGTTCAAATAGTAGACAGAGGAAACACCAAGAATGCCAGGGAATTTTTAGAAGCCTGGTGAATCGTTAATCAATAGACACATCGAGATAGACAAAATTTACCAACCGATAAGAAGGAAATCTCATATACACACACGCGAAGGGTCAAAGTTCAAGTCAAGGAAACAATCAATTCCAATACACAGGTAGCCTAAAGGATGTGAAAACACACGGAAACAACCAATCATGTTCAAGGCTAGCATCACCAGGAGAGATGACTAATAAACTAGTGGAGAAATCTAAAAGCTCATTTCCTTCATATTGAAGTATGCGCTGGGGATGTCGCGTAGCAGTAGGGGGTAGTGAAAGCTTCACAGATTAACTATCCAGCTCAGAGAACACAACCAGATCAAAATGACTGGTGAGTGTCAACAACCACGAAACTAAGATTAGACAAGGCTTCCTGCCCACTGCCTCCAACTATCTTGTATTAATTATGATATAATATAGAAGTTAATTAATTGTTAAGCTACTCACTAACTAACTAACTAACCAACCAGCCTAATGACTCCATTGTTACAGGAGCTGAAGAGATGATGAAACATTCTTTTACAACATCAGAACATACGGAAAGGAAATGAAGAAAGATTGAAGATAGAGCAGGTAACAAAGTTCGATACTTAAATAATATTGAGATAGAAGACAAGTAGTTCAGCGAAGAGTCTCTTTTCGCCGGCGAATTCATTTTCATAGCTGTACAATCGAAAATATATATGTGGTTGTTTTGTATGTGTGTGTGTGCACATTAAATTTGCCAAACGAAAATACAATTAGTAAGTTCACATGAATTGGATGTTGATATAACAGGGTAGGTAGTAACAAAAGTGATGAGTTGTCACAAACTATTGTTAAAGAAGAGTTAAGTAATAACGTGAATAGTCTAATGAAAGAGTTGTACTCAGGGTTTACATGGAAACAGAATAATATACGGAATTACACAAGGTTTTTAAGTAGAAAAATAAGCATACAAACAAAAGTTAAGTCAAATCAAACAAACAAACAAAGAAAAGTTAAGTCAAATCATCACAGTTGTTACCATGGGAGTAGAAGTGGTTGGATAATTTTCTTTTGTATGCACAGTTCTGGTTCCTCCAGCTTAATGGCTAGGGCTTCTGCGATGCAAAGAAGAAGGACCTATTCAGTGACATCCTTAGAAGGAGAATCTCCACCTCTTTAAGAAGAACCTTCTTTGCGGTAACATTGAGAGTAGTGTTCTCTAGTCGCCCGCTGATCTCCAGAAGCCCAAAAGACAAGATCTCGCACCTGACTACTTCTATGTGTATATATCAGATCACCTGTTGCTGTGGAGTCAGGTACATCGGTCGTTCAACGCGTATCCTGTCAAAAATGGTCAAAGAACACTATCCAGCGTGGCTGCAGAAATGAAGTAATGGCCATCTCGTCAGCACTGGTCATTGCATCTCAACAAACGCCTCCTGCTTCAAAGTAATCTACAAAGTGAAGAGCAATCTGTCAACCACTTCTACTCTCATGGGAACAACTCCGCTGATTTGACTTTACTATTGTTCCTATGCTTATTTTTCTAACTACTTAAAACCCTTGCGTAATTCCGTATGTTATTTTGTTTCCATGTGCACCCTGGGCACAACTCTTTCACCAAACTATTCACGTTATTACATAACTCTTCTTTAACAATCGTTTGTGACAACTCATCACTTTTCTTACTACCTTCCCTCTTATATCAACATCCAATTCATCTGAACTTACTAATTGAATTTTCGTTCGACAAATTTAATGTACACGCACATACAAAACAACCATATATATATATATATATATATATATATATATATATATTTGCGATTGTACAGAGCTATGAAAATGAATTCGCCGCCGAAAACAGAGACTCTTCGCTGAACTACTTGTCTTCTGTCTATTAATGTTCGAATGGGAATTTTTCATGAATATTGAGAGATATTCAAAATTGAGATTGATTTAAAGTTTATATTAGACAGAATTATGATTCAACCAATAGTTTATCGTCATAGAAACGAGGATTTTACTATCACTATTACTATGTTTACTGTTATTATCATTAGTAGTATTAGTAATGATAATAATAGAAGTAGTCATGAGTAGTTTATGCGCTGCTAGTTCGTTTAATTATTCTTAGTAATATTTCCCAGTCTTATTTCATCATCTTTTCACATTGCATTGCATACGGAGGTAAGTTTCTACTAAGCGTGTGTGAAAAGGTTGCTTTCACCATGTTATCAAAAATACAAGCACTGAACACTTACTTACAACTATACATTTATATATTTATACACATATGCTATATCACAATTTGAGAACTAACTACACACTGTGTCGGTTGGTCGGTCGGTTGTCCAGTTGGATATCAATCAAACATCTAGTCGGGCATGGGTTTCTTTTCACTGAGTGAATTCCTTTCCCTATTATTATTTATTTTTTTGCTTAAAATATTGCACTTTATCTACCAAGTGAGCACGAGTTCGTTTTGCTGTTTGACATGCACTTTGACGTGTCTTTTCTATGCATTTTACTGTTCACTCATGTGTTTGTTTCCTTTTTTGAAATACCGAACTGATTAAAAATGCCCATTAAAATTTTTTCGAAAGAATGGTGACTGAACAAAGAATACTCTTTTCATCATGAGCTGACATTAGTTAGAGAACCATTGGAAAACCTGGGAGTACTGAACAGCTGTTTCGTCCTAGTTTGGGACTCTTCATCAGTACGCACCAACCGGGATTCGAATCCAGGACCTTCTGGTTACAAGGCTAGTGAGCTCGTATACCATTAAACCACTGGGATCCGGTCCAGTGGCCAGTCCATGAATTCGACTTCTGCCAATTCACGACATAGCACGACCCCTAGCCAACGTCTTCGGCGAGTATTTGTCATCACACCCGACCTGCTTCACCCTAGTGGTCATGACTTCTCACTAGAATCCCAGGTAACTACCTACCTGAGTAGAGAAAGTCGCCAGTAGGGTGCAGCAGGTCGGTTGTGGGGATAAATACTCGCCAAAGACGTTGGCTAGTGGTCGCACTATGTCGTGAATTCGCAGAAGTTCGAATTCATGAACTGGCCATTGGATCGGGTCCCAGTGGCTTAATGGTCTACGAGCTCACCTTGTAACCGGAAGGTCATGGGTTCGAACCCCGGTGGGTGCATACTGCTGAAGAGTCCAAAACTAGGACGAGGGAAACAGCTATCCAGTACTCCGTTGCTAGTTTTCCAATGGTTCTCTAACCAATGTCAGCTCATGATGAAATCCTGTGACCAATCAAGTCCCTACAAACCAACACTTGAAATCTAAGTTATTTTGACATCATTTAATTTTTGTTTCTTTTTTTCATTTCCTGCAAATTTATTTTAGCTTTCAATCGAAAATTATACAATTCAAATCTGTCTGCTGCTGCTGCATTAAATATTCCCAATCATTGTCTAACCAATCCCAGTCAACTTGGTTATCGTTCACCCAGTGATCCAGATGTATTTCTCACCTTCTGTGAAGATTCAGTGAGAAAATCAGCCGGTATAAGACAACCAATTAATCATCATTTACATCATGGCGAGAATCAGCCTTCATCATCGTCACCGCCGATACCGATGCCGCCGCCACTGCCAACATCTAACATCACTTCTACACGTGGTAATTTTGCTGCACCTAACGGTATGATGAAGCTTATGATGATGAGCACTTTATCAGATTCTTTCAAATATCATCTTACCCGACAGAAATCAGAAGGTCAACTGCTAACAGATCGTCATGACTCGTTCGATGAAGTTCTATGGGATTTACAACCAACTCCTTTATATTGAGAAGTGGGCTAGAGAAAGAGAGGGAAGAAATAGCGCGGGCGGGTGGCGAAATTCAAATTATATTCACTCATTCAAACAAAAAGATACATATGTTGAACATTGAACTATTGATTAAAGAATAATAATTGATTAGGTGTAAGATGAAGATTCTCGAACGCTGATTAAATAAATATCTATACATCTATCTATCTATCCATCCATCTCAACTGTCATAACCTTTAGAAAAGATCTCTTGCCGCTTTTTTTCCCATCTTAGGAAGAAGAAATGTCCAATATTTCATTTACACTGTGATAAATACCCAGTTTTCTAGCTTATATTAAACCCCGTCTCTATTAAACTAAAAATATGCGATCTAACAATATCTGACAGTGAGGAAATGTCAATAAAATCTTTAAGAAAAATGTATTGAAATGAAACCTATTTTGTCCCTGTTTTTCCCCCTTCTGCCAACTCCCCAGCGCCAGCCTCCCCTCCTCTCATTTCATTTCACCACTGTTTGACACTGACATATTGGTTTTTTCCAAATTGCTCACATCATCGTCCTGTTTTCCCGCCTATTACATTGTTTCAATAACCATAATGAACATATACACGCATAACTAAACTATATAGACGCTCAATATTTTACTTTGTTTATCACCGGTGCTCTGGCACGTATTCACACACACATATATACAACACCTAAACTAACTAACTAACTAACTAACTAACCAACCAACTAACTGATTAACTAACCATGACGTTAATAATTCTTCCATCACTTATAACCCCTCTGACTTTTCTGTACTTTTTCCATATTTTTTATTCAATAATCAATTGTTCACGCATATATTTATATATATATTGGGTAGCACAGTGGGGTTAAGATTTAAACAAGATTGAATGAATGCCTATATTTATAGAGAGAGAGTTTGTATAACCTGGTTACTGTATTTGTAAATTATTACTATTATACCTCCCCCCCCGATTTATTACGTCATCAGCATCAGCAGTATCGTCAGCATAGAACACTACTCCCATCGGACATATGCGCATATAAATACACACATATATATAGATCATGCCTAAAGACTTTTGTTATGCAATAGTATTTAATTATGCCATCTTATCATTCATTACCAATTGTGCGTTTTTTCTCCGTCTCTCTCTCTCTCTCGTGTGTTTCTTGTTCTCTTTCCTTGTGAGTGTGTTTGTGTGTGTGCGTGCATGCGTGAGTTCCTCCACCCCTGCCCTCTTCTTCTCCTTCATATTTAACTGATAAAACCGAAAAAAACACAAAGTAAAATCATGACTTTAAATCTTCACCCTACAGTTGAAGCATCCAGGCTTGTATTGTGCATCTGGAGGTTTGTGTGTATGCGTGTGTGGATTTGTAGGCGCAATAACCTTTGAGGCAATAATTAATTGAAGATGCCTTCTTCCTCTTCCTTCTCTTCTTCTCCTTCTTTGTTACCATGGCAACAAAACCTATAGCTGCAATATTCTCGCTCGCGCCTTTACTTCTTCAACTGCTGTTCTTACTTACTTAATTACACATATTACACACAGATTGAACTGATAAATTTGTGATATATATATATATAAATATGCCTAAAAATAAAACGTCAACGTTGTTTTCTTTTTGTGGAAGTCTTGTGTTCCTGTTTTTCTGGGATTTTATCGATTATTTTCTACACTATGAATAGTATCATTGTTTCTCCTTATATACGTGTGCGAGTGTGTGTCGGTCGCAAACAATTTTCCCCTTCATTTTTTAAAATTTTTTCATAAATTCTTAACGTGTAATCTTTGTGTAATCTTTTGTTTTATTTTCTTTGTGTGTTTTTTTTGGCCCTAGAGATATTATTCAAACAATACAGCTACTGAAATCATTCATACTACTGAATAAATAATAATACATGAGTGTTTTCTTTTAATATTTTTCCATTCTTTCGCGTTCCTGAGGGAAACAAGATATGGGTCTTGAAGCTTTGAAGTTTCGGTGGCGATGGTGTTCCTTGCTAGCCTCTCACCTGACCTTTCAAATTTTCTAGAGAGTGTGTTGTCGGAGAATCGAACCACTGGACGTCTTGTGCCGTGGTTGAGACGAGTATTCTGCCAGTGAACTAACACGACGCACATAGTAGAACACCGCTATAATACTACTTATTTGTAGTCAGTAGTCAATTGTTTATCTCCGATTTGATTATCAATGCCTATAATCATCGGATGATATGCGGAAGACTGTGCACACGGAGTGAGAAGACAGCAATACGATGGACAGCTGGATAAGAAGACTCTAGAAGATATGGATTTAGCAGAAAATGTAGGTCTCGAAGACTTGCGGACGAAAGCCAACATACTGGCTGAAGAGCTGAGGCAGGCAGTGAAGACAAGACTACAGATGAACATAGGAATGACAGAGGTGATGAAGATAACCGGGCAACCAACCAACAGCAACAGTAACTACAAACAGCATGAATCACCATCAACGGGAAAGATTTGACAGAGGTCACTTCCTGCCTTCACTTATCTGGCTAGGAAGTACGGTTTCAACCACAGGCAGATATCATTGAAACGGTCGGTCGGTCGGTTTTCGACATAGAACTTTACACCGATGTGCAGTAGTTCAAGTCGCCACACTCCCTCCTTGTAGCACACAAAGCAGGAGAAGACAGTAGGAGAAATGCATAATATAGACAGTAAACAGAGGTGAGAGACAAAGGGAGTAGTAATAACGAAGGACAAAACAGTTTAATTGGAAATCATAAGTCACAAGGAGTGGATGTAACTGCGCCAGCCATCGCTGAGAACGATTTTGAGCCATGTCACCAATTGTTTCCAACCATTGGTTTTTACCGTCCCCAGGACCCCAACCAGCCAAGAAGTCTACACCTTCCTACGTGGTTTAGACTAACTGTTGTAGATTTCATTGACTGGTGCTATGTTTTCGTTTGACCGCTGCTAGCTCTTTTCCAGCCTGACCCTATATCAGCTAACATTGCCCACTGTCGAGGAAGGCGATGACTAGGCATACGTAACACATGTCCTAACCATTTCAGTCGATGTAATTTCACAGTCTCGTCGACTGATTTCCCTTCCTTACCTAGAACTCGACACCTAACCTCAGTATTGCTCACCCTATTATACCATTTCACGCGGGAGATAGAACACAGGCACCTCTGATCGAAGACAGCTAATCTTTTCATGTCTTCTGCTCTCAATGGCCAGGTCTCACAGCCATAAAGGAGGACGATGTCACTGAAACACAAGATATGCGCTCATCAACATTGAACCAGTCTGGAAATCTTCTGCTTCACTCAGCCAGCGAGCATAAACAACAAGATTCGGATTCTGCTCAACACACAAATATGAAGTCAGTCAGTCAGTCACTCACTCACTGTACGCCCGTCATGAAAACGATTTCCAACAGGCTACTGCAGACGTTTGTCAACAGCTGCCATCTTCTGTGGATGGCTCCATGCTGAAGACCAAACGGACAGGCGGCGGGTCAGTAAGAATTAGCAACAAAAAACTCTGTGTGGGAACAAACAAATAGGCGAGAGCCAACTGATCAACAAGTAGATATGCTGGAGAAAATGGAGATGGATTGGTCGGGCATACGCCACTGAGAAGGCTTTTGAATAACATCGCTATTGGAAGCAACGAGTGGGTCGTCGGTGCTAGAGTGATATGGAGGAGGAGATCATGCTGCGAGGAAGAGGAGATGAGCGATTACAGTCAGCCAGTTGAAGAGGACAGCAGAGAATAGAAGAAAGCGGAGATGTGTTGTTGAAGCCAGCTCTATGTTCCATTCGGAACCCAAGAGAAAAATAATTATAAGTCACTTGGTTTTGTCTCCGACTGAAACATCAAAAGTCTATTTATTTGAGCTCAGTTATCTAAAGCTGGTCTTACATGTACTTTATGAAACTGACTAAAGTAAATGGGATGGGATTCTTGCCCAAAACCCACTAATTAACTATTTGAGTGAATGAGCCACCCTACCCCACTGCTGATAATATCAGTATGATTGAAGTACTGAAATATTCCAGTTTTTCTGAGATGTGGTCAATAAGACATACATAAGATCAAAGGCAAAGTTAAACTTTAAGCACCAGTATCTACCAATCAGCGAACCAATCCTTCAACGGACCAATCAGGTAAAAGAGGGATTTTTGATTAAGGAAAAAGTGTATTTATGAAAAAAAAGCATAGAAACTGTATAAAACTGTTATTATATAGGGTATCTTTCTCTAACATGTGAAAGAAACATCTCCCAGTTTAGCATAGGAGTGTCAATAGAAAATTCACACCACATTCTGTACATATATTCATTCAAATGACTATAAATGAGATCCAATTATAGCCTTAATCTAATTTTTTAATCTCCCCCAAAATCCTACTGTAGAATTCGTGTGTGTCCCTGTAATCAGATCTACAAAATCACTAGAACGGTTCACTCTGTGATGAATATATCCAAGAGATGATAGCGAGTTATAACCTTTCCATTCATTAGTATGTACTATGGATCCCTGTTTCACAAGTCGAGTGACAATAGGTACTAAGTGATTAGACTTTCTGTCTTGTATTCTCTCCACGAATCCTTTCAGCAGGGAGGTGTCATATAAACTGACCACCCAAACATTGTTGGCTCGCTCACGACCACAGTTGTATTTTTTCTTCAGTAACACAGTTTCATAGATATGTACGACGATACCTTCTCAGCCTAACAACGAGGTAATTCTTTCCATTTTCCATGAGGCGATGTCTCTGCAGTACTGGTACTACTGAACTGTTGATACGAGGCTATTTTCAGTTTAGGCAGCCGCGCCTCTCACAGGCTGTTTTAAAACCCAGTAAATTTACAAATTTACAAAATCGACCTAGCAAAAAATGTTCCTACGAAATATTAAAATTATCAGCTTACCTTCCCTAATACTAACTCATCTCAAGCAAATTGCACAACGATGGACATATCCATCCTCCCCTTCCTAAGCAACCCCAAATGCAGACAATA